AAAAAATGTATAGGCTCCCTCCCTAAATTTCGTTCTGGCTACGCCCACATATGTAATTTATATGTTTGTATATATTACCACCATAATTCACATCGCTACCTAAAGATGAAAAGATACCAAGCCCATTCTTTTTTCCAAAATTTAGTTTTTGATGCAGAATGGCAGGTAATACGAAACCAATTTCAAAAAATGGACTTGGCACCTTTTCACCCTTAGGTGACGATATACATATGTAGTTGTGCACATTCCCACACTCGTTCCAACCGAAAAGCATTTGCCTGTGTTGCATATATAGTACATACATATGTACATTAGACTGCATCACCAAAAAAATGTTGCGTATTTTCTGCCGGGATTAAAAAATTTATTAAATTTGAAGAATACCTCCAAATATTTAGAAAATACCTCCAAAAATGGACTTTTTTATGCATAAAAACAGTTTCTTAAAAGACTTTTTGAAACAAATCCCCTCAGATGACAAAACATATTAAGCTTAAAAAATCTGCATACAAATATTTAAAAATCGTTTCAACAGAATCGTAGTAATGAGATTTTTGATTTACGAAAAACTTGCATATCTGGGCTAAAACTATTCTGATTTATACTTGTGGGAGCTCAGTAGAAAAGTATTTTCTCACTCTTTTTATTTCTGTGCCAAAAAAAAAACTCATTCATGTCCCTTTTTTTCCAAACACCAACACATCTTAATTCAACTTGGAATGACGCTCGTTCATCCTACCTTTCTCTTCCATCTTTTGCATGAAAAAAGGGTGACAAAATACCTTTCCAATGATACCTCACAAGTCAAAAACGGAGTAGTTTAGGTTCAGTTATTCAAGTTGGTATTAGACCAATCTTAAAAAAAAAGTTAAAAAAAACAGCACAAAAAATCTCATTATTACGATTCCGTTGAAAATTTTTTAAAATATTTTTATGCACATTTTTTTAGCTTAAACCGTTTGGTCATTTTAGGCGTTTTTTTTAAGCCTTAATTAACTATTTTTATTTATAAAAAACTTCATTATTTGAGGTATTTTCAAATCGGTCCAGCTCACGTAAATCTTAATATTTTTCCAAAATATTTTGGTGGAAGTCTTAAAATATAATAGATTTTATAATTCCAATGGAAACACAGTACCCTTATTTTTGTATGGGGAGTGACGCAGTCTAATGTACATATGCATGCTGTATAACAAAACGCATAACCAAAACAAACGCGAAAAGCATCTCCCCAACAACGTCGTCGAAAATTGTTCGCGATAAGTTTATTGCGATAAGCTGTTGTGAGTTATCGCGAATGGTAATTTTACATGGTTTTTCCCATTTATGAGCGACCGACAAATAATGGGACTACAGCGGCCAAAAGTAGTAAAACCGGGTTAGCGTATCCTGAAAAAGTAATTACGCAGATAAATAGCAAAATATCCAGCTGACCCAAACCAAAAAGAATGTTTGATAAAAATGCATATTTGCAATCATTACACGAGCTTAAAGTAGGAACAATGCGGAAAAATAAATTTGTAAGAAAAAATTTTGATTTTGTCGCAAATATTTTGAATTAATTTTTCCACTTGTGCGCATATATAAAAAGCCAATCTGATTGATGAGCTGTTTTTGAATACATCTGTGGTCAAGCATTGCTTTAAATTTTTATAATTCTTTTGACATGTAAAAAATAGTTTACTTTGAAACTCTACATAATTTTGTGAGTATAAAATTTTTAGAGTGCTTACTTTAAAAAGGGATATTTAAAAAGGACCTAGGAAGCGAGCTAAATTATACTTAGGACAAGTAAACATTACATATGCGTATCATATCTCAAATAGTTTCAGCTGCGAGGAACTGCGAGTTCAGTTTCTATTCTTCCTTTTATAGACCCACCTACTGTAAAATTTATTGAATTTTTATTGTAGAGCTCATGGGAAAGACTCTGGTGTGTACATAAAATAAATAACATGCAATATAAAATGGAAATTGAAGAAGATGTAAATATTAATGACTCGCCAATCTACTAATCACATTCAACATTCAGCCAAAAATGAACGCTTTTCTAGACGAGATCCGTTTTCAATGGCAAGAGTCCTGCTGGCTTTAGCTCAGCTTTTGTGGTATAAAATGTAGGTTAAATTGAAAGTTTCAGTGTAAATACATATCATGCACATAATTTAGTACACAGGTATTGTAAATGTTTTCGTTTTGTCATTTTTAGAATGAAGAAATAGAAACTTCTTTAGAAATACCATAAATGTGCCTGTTCATTTTCTCAAAAATTCATAAAATTTAGTACTTGGAGCCAAAAGAGTGTGTAGAAGGTGGGCGCCGTAATAAGAAACTCTTTATTACCTTCCAAATTGAAAATTCTGACTTAAACGAGCAGAGAACACCGAATTTCATTAAAATATATTTTTTTAACTTGCGCTTGTTTTTCTAGAATTACTGGACGATAATGTAAACCGATTTTGACGATCTTTCAGATTTATGATTTTCTCGTTAAAACTAGCATATCGACTGCTGAGTGGAAGATCGACCTATCTCGGCAGCCAGTTCGAAAACACCCTCTCACAAACAACTTTTCAAGAAAGTCCTATTTCAGAATTCGTTTCAAAACCGCCCTATATCAGCACATTTTCAATAATATTATGAAGTAAGAAAGGGCGCTTTTGAACCGAATTCTGAGATAGGGTGTTTTTCGATAAAATTTTGAAATAAGGCGTTCTTGAAATGTTTTTTGAGATAGGGCGTTTTCGAACTGGCTTCCCAGATAGCTCCATCTTCCACTCAGCAGTCGATATACTCTGAATTTCATCAAAATCGGGTAACATTTACTATTTCCGCCCACAAGAGCTGTGGGCGTGGTAGCGCGTTGAATTTTACCATTTTCCACATTAGTTAATTTCTAGTGCCGAACGGTTACATCTTTTAGCCGCATCTTATATGGGGACGTCCCACTGTGCGACATCGGCAATGTTCAGACTGCTCATATTTGAGTGAGAAGATATTTCTTTGCTTTTTTCGTTCGTAAATGAAAGACAGCGGAAAATTGTTTCGCATTCCAAATATGAGACGTGATAAATTTGTTTGCATTTTTCAGTCGCTATAAAAGAATGCAAAAACAATTATGAAATATTTTCGATTTTCGATCATGATCTCATAAATAAGTGAAAAGGAATAATCATAAATGAGAATTTCCGAACCCTGCTTTTGACATTACATTCATTATACAGGCATGTTCTGAAATTCGAAACTTTGAAATCGACTCGATTTGCCAAATATTTTTTGATTATATCTGATGAGAAGAGTGAATATTCTAATTGAAAACCGTAATACATAATTTTAATGCGAGACTTTTAAATTTTTGGGTTAAAAACCTTCGAAAAAATTATCGAAATCGATTCGATTTCAAATTTCGAATTTCAGAACATGCCTGATAGTGTTCGCAATATTCGTACCAATTTTCAGCTTTATGCGAATTACTGTAAGTTTACCGTTGTTTTTTTAGCTAACCTGACTGGGCTATAAATTTTAAAACCTATTTAATAACTTCAATGTAAAACTACTGCTAAACGAATTTAAGTGAGTATAGTAAAAGTCATTTGCATACTAACCGTTGTTTTAAAATAGAATCACCTTCAATTGACAGAGGTATGCTATTCGGCAGCTGCAACAAGAAATTATGCGGCGCTGCTGTCGTCAACGGAAACGGCATGTTATTTATATCAACTGAAGACTGTGACCTCGAAAGCTGATTAGTGGCTGCTTTTGCACAGCCGTTACTGGCATTTTTATAACTGTTGAAACTTGGTGTGAAAGATTTGTTAATGTACACATCTGATTTCTTCTGTTCACTTTGATCTGAGTTTTGAGTCTCAGATAAAAAGATAAATATCTGATTAATATTTTCCAGTGTTGAACGCATATCACATCGCAGTCCCGTTATATCATAGCAAAGCTGAGCAATGTTTTGGTTAAGTAAGAATATTGCATATTTTATTGACTTGGAGGGTATACTAGTACGACAATAAAGTGAAAACCTGAAAGAGCAAATAAGATACATTTTCAGTAAATGTTATACATATGTAGATGCACATGTAGATACGGTCAACTAAAGAAAAAGGCAACGATAAAGGAAATTGTTTTGTCATATTTTCAAGTATGCAATCACAATATTTTCCAGCCCCCGCACAGCATTTCATACCAAGCCCCGCCTAAATAGGCCCGGCATAATTCAGAACCGGCCGGCCAATTGCCTTGCATTTTACTTGCTTTTACGCAGTTCAAGTATTGAATTAAATTCTGCTCGCATGTGGAAGAGAGGGGTGAGCAGACAAGTGTCGAATACACATGCGTCCGTACCGTCAAGTCATTTCAACTTTATTGCTTTGCTTTTGACATTTTCGTAGTTTGCCATTTTATAACCAAAAACTTGAATTCGAGAGAATTACGAAGAATTGCTTGCAAGTACTTGAATCATGTAAATCGGGAGTTAGGCTGGGCGAGTTGTTGTAGCTACACTATAAAAAAAATTTTTTTAAATTTGCGCATATTAAGATAGGTTACCGTCTTAATTAATGCCGATTTCGTTTCTACCGAAAAATTCAACCTTCTCTGTGTCCTCTACGCACAAACACTAAGAAGAGGGCGATGAGAAGGCAACCTTTTTTGTAGAAATGAAAACGCCATAAGTTAAACACTGCTTGTTTCCTTTTACTTGCCATTACTTAAACATTTATTGTTCACAATTTCACAGTTTAACACATAAAATGTTTAAAACTAGCTCTAAAATTTTTTTGTTCAAATTTACGCATATAAGAGACGTAACCAGTTTTCTCCCCTAATGTGCGGAAATTTAAACACCGTGTAATAAAATTAAACACTGGCTGTTTACTTTTACATACCAAATTTGTCGCGTATAGCAAAATTACACATAAAATGTTTAAAATTCGGTAAATATGAGCACTTAATGTTTGTTATTAGTAATTAATGTATATTTACTTTCAAAGTTTTTGCAATTTAAAACATTTAATGTGTATATTTATTTGTATATTTTAAACATCTCATGTTCAGAATCAAATCCAACGCGTACACTCAGAGAAGGGATCAAGTTTTTCGTACTCCATCTTAGCATTTCCGAACTTAAAATCGGACTAAGATTGAAAATTATATTCAACATTTTTT